CTTTTTTTTGCTGTTTTGGAAAGTTAAACCTTCATGCTTATGTGGCGTGCTATGTAGATAATTTTGTTTGCCATGTCAGTTTTCCATTTGGTTCAGTTTTACTAACGATCTCTAATGAAGTTTAGAAAAGATAAATTACTAGGATTAGAGAGTGAATCATGTCAACTACTCACTCCGTCCAAAAATACTTGTCATACAAATGGACAAAAAATGATGCATCTAAAACTAAAATACATTTAGATACATTTTTATTTATTTATTTTAATGACGAGTATTTTCAGACAAAGAAAATATGTGTAATGACTAGTGAGTAGCCATGGAGATAGAAACGGATGGCTGATCGCTCCTACGTCGTTGATTGTCCCCTCACTGATTGTGTGCGAGGACCGAGGAGACTGCTTCATGATTTTTTAAAGTTCACGGAGTATAGAATACCAAGCTCCCCAGATTTGGAGCCTGCTAGTGTGTGCGGGGCTATGGTTTTTTTTTTTGAATATCAGTACAGACACAAATGCTCATATACACGTGCATACACTTATCCCTATGAACGCATACATGCACACCCTACCTCTATGACCACCTTCGAAAGACTAAGCCGGCATATCATTTTAGATTTACGAAGTCGCCGTAGGCGCCTCGTCGTCGACGAGAACGTCTCCCCCCACTGAATGTGCATCGCCGAAAATCCTGAAATAAATACAGGAATAAATACGAGCACCAGGATTTGAACCCTGGTGGGCTGGGGATAGCACAGTCTCTCTAACCGTCCAACCACAGGTTGGTTCGCGGGCTATGGGTTTGTTGGGGCCCATCTATAATGGGGTCTGTCATTTGTTGAGGGTTTCTATTAGTTTTATTTCTCTTTTCTCTTTTTGAATTTTATATTTTTTTCACATTTAATTCCTGAGAATTTATTAAAATTTGTGAACAATTTCTAAAATCTTAAAAAAATTGAGAACATTTTTAAATCCATGAGTATTTTTAAAGTTTACGGACATTTATAAAGTCTATGAACTTTACTTCAAATTTGCAAATATTTTTAAAATCCATGATATTTTTTTATAATTCCCAAATATTTTTTAAAATTATGACTTTTTAAATTTTCAACATTTTTAAATCTATTTTTTAATCCGTGGACATCTTTTGGTTTCATGGAACTTTTTTGTAAAAAAGACAACCAACTATTTGTAAGACAATAGTGGAGCGATTCGTACAAGCATAATCTTATAATCAATGGTAAACATGACAACGCCCGACTAGCACCACTCTCCTCTCAAAACAGATATCGTCTCTAGCAGCACCCAACATGATATACGAATAAAAACACCACTAGAATATAATTAAAACTCAAGCCAATATAGATAAAATCAAAAAGAAATAACCAACCACTGCTAGATAAAAAAGACAATTCCACGAGTGAAAAATGGCACAACGAAGCGTCTGTTGGCCTCTAATTGTCTCTAATCCAAAGGGAAACAACATATAGGGAAAACTAGGGTCAGTTGTCTCTTATCTTCTTTGCCTGGTGCTTGTCCGCGCGTAAAAAGTAGCAGAAGTTCCGGTCTCAAGTGTCATTGCACATTCTGTGAGTATTAAACGACAGTTTTTACGTATCATCCCACCCAAATTTGCAAAACAATGAACACCTTCAAGCATTATGTAGTACATTTATGACTAGTTATGAGAAATGTGAAAAAAGATGCCCATTCATTAAGAGGATCCATTTATAAGCAAAATACAAAGCGGATTTGGTCTCGTATTTATTTCCTGAGATGTACTCCCTCCGTCCGAAATTACTTGTCACAGAATGAATGTATTTAGACATATTTTAGTTTTATATACATCCATTTTCATTCATTTCTGGACAAGTAATTTTGGATGGAAGGAGTACTACATAAAGGCATGAAATTCCTCAAGGTTTGCCAGTGCACGAGCCGAAGCCAGCAAAAACTCAATCCTAACCAAGCAAGAGCGCACACCATGGCAGCCAGGCTCCTCTTCTCCTCCCTCCTCATCCTTCTCGTTGGCTCCCACGGGGCGTTTGCCTCCGTGGAGGAGACGTGCGCGAAGGCGATGAAGGGATCGGAGCACAAGAACCTTGAGTCCTTCTGCGTGACGACGCTCCAGGCGGCGCCGGGGAGCGCCTCCGCGGACGCGAAAGGGCTGGCCGTGATCGCCACGAACCTGACGCTGGCCAACTACACGGCGGCGGTGGCCACAATCAAAGATCTGCAACGGCGCGGGGGCTGGTCGGACAAGCAGCAGGCCGCGCTGGCCACGTGCCGCCGGCGGTACATCGAGGCGCTGAACGTGGTGCACAGCGCCGTCCACGCGCTGGCCACCGGGCGGAAGCAGGCGTACGTGGCCGAGATGGGCGCCGTCAGGAGGTCCGCCACCGACTGCGACGACGCGTTCGGCGGACGCGGTGGCGACGCCGCGGCGAAGCGGGAGGAGGCGCCTCTGCGCAAGGTGAACGACGACGCGGAAAACCTGACCACCATGGCCATGCTGATCGTGATCACGCTGTAGCGGGCACATGCCCATGGTACTTCCTCCATAGGGATAAAAATAGAGTTTATCTATTTTAATGACAAATATTTTCGAACGGAGGGAAGTACATTTTTATCCCTCTCCTCCATGCTGCCTGCCCGTGAGTGAGATGTTGTGGACGGCACTCTGCAGAATAGTAGGAGAGGGCCCGGTCGCTAGCTTCTGAAACTGGCAAGCTCCAACGGACGCAACGCAAGCATATGAGTTGATCGAGGCAGAAGAGCGGTCTACAGTCACGCACATCTCGTGAAGCTAAATTCCAAAGCCGAATTGGTACTGTAGAATTTGTCATCTTCTGCTTGTCCTCAATACAGAGATTTTTTTTTTCTTTCAGCGGAGAGAGATTACTTTGCAATAGGATCTCTAGCACATCCCCCAAAGTTATACGTGTAAAAAGTTATACGTATATGAGACAGATTTTTTTGTCTCGAAAATTAACACTCATCTAGCTTGTTGAAGGGAATAGAGAGGGAGTGGTGGAATCGATGTTTATTGCTTGAGCCGGGAATAGAAAAGGATTGGTGAAATCAATGTTTATTGCTTGAGCCTCGTGGA